GTGGATTTTGACGTGCTCGGATGGTGGAAGCGGAACGAACACATGTTCCCATGTCTCGGCATGCTAGCAAGACAAGTGTTATCCGTTCCGGTATCAACCGTAGCAGTTGAACGAGAATTCAGTGCTGGCGGGAACATTCTAACCGACTTTCGAAGTTGTCTTAGCGCTGAATCTCTTGAAACACTTGTTTGCAACCAAGATTGGCTCTTGGCAAGACGTCGAGCTCAAGAGTCAACGTACCAACTCGAATCGGAGCATTACATGAATGCAACAACAGATGGAAGTCCGAGTTCTGAAGAATAAGTTATAATTTTTTTTGTTAATGTAAATATGTAATTAGTTTTTTTAGCTGAGCGATATATAAGCTCCTTCGAGGGTTTCTTTACGGTTCTTTACCTCGTCGCTTTTTTTGAACCGTCAGGATATTAAATGTGGTTGTTCTTCAATTAGTGTATTATTCATTTAAAATATTTAAATAACAACTACATTTTTAGATAACAACTACATTCCAGTACTTCATTCTTTCCTTAAACAATTGCAAATTTAAAATTTTATACTTAAAAATTTTAAAAAAAGCAAAAAAAAAATAGGGGGGGGCGAAACCGGCCGGTCCGGGAACCGGAACCGGTACCGGCCGGCACGGTGACGGTTCCGGTGACATGGGGTGGCGGTACCGGAACCGGCGGTTCCGGAACCGGAACCGTACCGTGTCCACCCCTAGTTTGGATACACCAAAGAGGAAATGGGAAGAAATCAGAGTTCAAACAAGAATTTCTCGGAAATAATCTCTCATCCTCCTCTACAAATCAAACCTATCAAGGCATGGGAAGAGATCAGAGACTTGCTCCCAATTGAAGCAACAAACTTCCCCATCATCTCAAAAATGTTGCCAAAATTTTGGAATATAATAGGAAAATGACTTCAAGAAAATGAGTTATTTTCCTGAAATCATTTTCCTTTTCTAGTGTTTGTCTGGAAGCATAAAAATTTTGAATTTCTGTTTGCCTTATTTCTGGGAAATAACTACTGCAAACCCTCTCTTTCCAAAAAAAAAAAGAAGCTCAAGGCAACAAATGCTGCAAATCTTGAGCTGTTTCCACAACATTATCTTTACTATCTAGACAGAAATGTTGTGGCAAGTCTTTTGTGTGCAATGCTTCTCCACCACTGCAACATACACAGTATCTGCTGAGATCTTAACCAAGAACACCATTTGAAACAAAGAGATGAAGGATGAAATAATACGGAGTAATACTCAGGTTAGTTGATTTGCTGCGTAGTAGAATGTGTATGAAACGGAGCAAACGATGCCCATAATCTTCCACAACCAAGGGGAGGAGAAACAAAGTGCCAGCATCCCATGGTATGGAGGCCGTCAAGAACCATGGTAGCAGATGCTGTCAATGATGTTGACCCATAGAGTGTGGCCCGAAAACCACATTATACTCTGTATATAAAAATATTACTCTGTATAAATATATACATGTCAACCGCTGGTGTTTGGTACGAAAAACACAATATACTCGGTATTTAAAATTACATCTCATAAAATTACTTATTCAAACTCTAGTACCAGTGGTTTAGGTTAATTGCTCAGCCACTTGAACAACATCTGAACCAAAAGGACAAAACTGCCAGTTCCGGAACCAGAGAACAGCTGACTATAAATGTTCTGCTCCTGGATCCTGTTCTTCATTTCCTTGAACTGGAAACCTGCAGTTCAATTCTGAATCGGGGATGCAAGAAAATACCAAAGTGATTGACCTTTTCAAACTGACTAGACTAGCCAAAGCTCTGGGAAGAAAATCCTATGATTGGTGAATGTTGCGAATTGCAGCAGTAATACTTCGGCAATCAAATTCCATGGTCTTCATCCAATTCTCAAAATCTCCAATTTCCTGCACATCCCAAACACATATGATCCAACTAGTTGCGCCCGTGGGCCCTTTAAAACTTATATGAAGGAAAAAAAAGGCAAACGGTGTTTTGTAATGCTAGTAGTGCCTCATGGATTCTTACAGGCTGCTAAATAGCACTCATATAAACTGAATTGAATGATACCACATTGAAGTGAATGATACTGAACTGATTACAGTGTAATTTTAAACTGAGCAATACTTAGCAAAACTGGACTAATGGTGTGAATTGAATAACTCTTTAGTATTTTTTATGTGTTGAACTTTGGACCAATAATATCTCATAAAATACACTCCCTCCGTTCCAAAATAAGACTCCTGTTTCGGTTTACGATGTTTGACAATTATTTTCAAATTTACACAATTGAAATGTGGAGTAGAATTTAAATTTAAATTCTATATTTAAAAACTACATAAAAACTCTACATAACAAGTGGTGACATGACTTTTATTTTATCAAATGATCCATGAAAATATCTAAAGAAAGAAGATGTATATTGATCACGTGAATAGTGATGAGGAGTCTTATTTTGGGACTAAGGTAGAGTATTATTCCCTCCTTTTCGAATTTAGCTGTCCAATTTCAAAATATCTTATTTTCGGCTGGGTGTAAAATATCAAATGCGTTTGTCATTCATTGGTGTCAACTATGTTACTATGCTATCTCGAGAGTATTTTAAATAATTAATCACAATTTGTTTACTAAAGTCATACATAGTAGTAATAAATAAAAGTATTTTTCAATGCAAATATTTAGGTACAAATTTTATACTTCTATTCTAATTCATTTGCATTTTTGTACATTGATGTTCAAAGTTTGAAAAAGCAGGCAATTCATTATGGGTTAGAAATGAAGACATTTCATAGAATATGAATTACTTGATTACAAACCTACAAAGAATAGTACTCCATCTGTCCCAATTTAAACTTATTGTTTGCATTTTGCACATAGTTTAAAAAAGTGAAACTATGTACTTGAGATTTATACATTGAAAAGAGAAATAATACGAACCACACAATTCTTTTCTTGAAGAAAATGAGAGGTTTATTTCGGAACAACCTAAAAAAGAAAGTGAAAAGTTTCTTTTCGGATAGAGGGAATATATACCAATACTTCATGAATTTTAAACATTATTGTGTGCGATGATGTATAAGTAACAAATGAAGGGGAATAAAAACATTTAGGGAATAAAAACGTTTAAGTACTACATTGGAAAATGACATATGTTTTAATACTATTTAGTGCAAATTTCACACAAATGAATGCTTTGGGAGAGACACATGTTGAAGAACAAAATTGGGCAACATGCTGAATTGTTTGAACTAGGAATAGTTCAGTGCTTCCTATCCAATTAAAATTCCATTGTGGTAGTTTCCAATATTGAATTTGCTTTAAAAATGGAATAAAAATTCCCTTTGGCTCGATTTGCTTGTACATTTCACGAAATTTGAAAGTAAAATTCCGTAATCAAAACAATGAATGAATGAATTACCTTAATTGCAGTATTAATTGCGTGAGAAGCAGCAAGCCATTGATCGGTTTGTTTTCCGAATCGGGCAATGGCAGCAGCCAATGCACGGATCTCCATTTCGATTCTCTTCTCGATTACGAAAGCCTCTTGGACGCCACCGTTCACGGCGTCGACCAGAAGATCCGCAACCCGGCTCGCACTGCGAACTGCATCTTTCTTCGATTCCTCTGATCAATTATGCGAATTTGAATCAATAAGAAGCAAATCTCTAAACCCTACTCGCAGAGGTGGAGCAAACAAGAGCGGGATTACAATCGAATCGATTTCGGTCTGGTGACTAACCTGTTAGAGCCCGGAGCTTGAGATGCCTATAATGGTGATCGTCGATCATCTGCATCAGTGAATTTTCTAAGCCGTCGGGCTCCCCGTGTCTCGCCCGATCCATTTTCTAGAGGACGGTCCGGTCACTGTGAGAGTACTGTGCTGCTCGCGCACGCCATCCCTTGCCTAAGACGATAATGGTAGGGACAACCCCAACCCCATCTTAACCGACCCGACCGACCACTAAAATATTTGGACTCGAAGCGAGAATAAAATAATCCGAACTCGACCCGAAATTTTTTACCCGAACCCGACATTGGGTCGGGTCGGATGTGGGTTTATTATTTTACCCGACTCGACTCAAACCCGAATATTTTATAACATAAAAGCCTATCTATAGATATAATGAGCACTCCGTATAATCTCTTGACAAAGTGCTACTATATCAAGTATGCCATTTATAATCATTTTTATAATTCCTTAATAAAAAATGAGACGCAAAAATTACTGGGGTACATTGAATTGATTATTGGTTAAAGTCGGGTTCGGGGCGGGTTCGGGTTTCGGGTTGGGGTCGGGTTTTTGGCTTAAAAAGTCGGGTTTCGGGTCGGGTTCGGGTTTCGGTTTAAAAGTCAGGTCGGGTTCGGGTATAATACTATCCAACCCGAACCCGACCCGTTGCCATCCCTAGATTCCTCATAAGTCATACTACCATAATTTGTTGGGTGCTTTCCAGTTCAGTGAATAAATTAGTTTGACAATTCCTATTTTTTCAAACTATGGCCTAATAGCTCTGGTGCCCCCTGTGGTTTGAAAAATTTGCATCAATACTCCCTTTGTTTTCAAAACTTATTTCTAAAGTTCCTATGGTTTCAAAACGTTGCACCCACACCCCCTCTGGTCATTTTCCGGCCATTTTTCGGAGAAGATGGGGCATGTGCGCATAATTTCTAAACCATATGGAGCACTCCTGCTCATTTCTTATTTTTCGTTTATTATTTGTGTTTTTCCCTCTTTTTCCTTTTCCTAGATTTTTTTTAAAAAAATTCTTTTCAATTTTTTATAATGTTTTAAATTTTTTTAAAATTCTTTGTGTTTGAACTAATAAAAAAATTAACATACATTACATCTATCTCTAATTAAACATTTTCACTTTTTCTTACATAGAATAATTTTTTGGAAAGTTCAAAAACAAAACCCAAAATAAAAATATGGAAAAACGAAATGAAAAAATTAAAATACTAAAAAAAGAGTCTTCTACAAAAAACAATTTTGGAACACGCCTAAAAATATCCTTAAAATTGAGATGTCGAAAAAGGATAATCATTTTTATTTTTGTATTATTTTGTTTCTTATTTTATTCATCATTTTTTAGAAGTTCTAAAAAAATTTACCATTTTTCGAAAAAAACAAAAATTGTTAATTTGAGACGTGCCGATGCATTATATGTTAATTTTTTCAAACAAAAATAACTTTAAATTTTAAGAACATTATAAAAGTAATTGTAAAATAACCTTTATTAATAAATGAAACAAATAAAGGAAAAAATTGGGAAAAAAAGAGAGAAATAAAAAATCAGCACCTGTACCCCCCGTGGTTTAGAAAATATGCACGAATGCCCCCCTTCTTCGCCAGAAAAATGACCGGAAAATGAGCAGAGGGGGAACGGGTGCAGCGTGTTGAAACCACAAGGACTTTAGAAATAAGTTTTGAAAACATGGGGGGTATTGCTACCTATTTTCCAAACCACGGGGGGTACTGACGCTATTTGGCCTTCAAACTATTGCTGATTAATGTAAAGTGGGTTTGCTGAACACACATTAAGTAAAAGTGTGTTCGCTGAATACAATATGTCTACAACTCTGCCAAAAGGAAAAGCTGAAGTTGTTGTCTTTGTCTTGGTCTTTGCATTTGCGTGTAGATTTAAATATGCCAAAGTCAAACATGGATTCGCCGAACAGGGTTTCGCTTAAATTTCAAATATAAAGTGTGAGTTCAATGAACACATGTAACGCACCAAAATATACTCTAAAAATTATACTGAATTATTATTCAAATAAACAAATTGTTTGATTAAAATAAATTTTTGTTGGGCTTTGGGCCAAAATAAAATATGTTATCACAATCTGGATAAGTCTCATAGATATAAATCCAATATGTTGACTTATTGTGTGATCTTGATTGAGAAACCGCGTACAAACCAAATTTAAAAATAAGTGAAGAATTTGTTTATGATAAGAACTTGGAAATGATTTATTGAAATAAATTATGAGAATAAGTAATATGAATTAAATGAGAGAACCTATTTAATAAAGGTCAACTAAATCAATTTTGACTCTGTCAAAATCAAACATCCAAAAATATGATTTCGGATAAAATATTACAAATAATGTCAAAAAAGTATTTCAAAAATATGATTTTGAAAAAATATATCTAGTGACTAGAATGTTCGTATATATCATTTCTACGTTCATAAACAGTCGTTTGGTTGAGATTTGTGTTTGACATGCTTGAAGAACTAATAATAAGAAATATTTGCACTAAATAACATTAAAACTTAAGTCATTTCTCTAAATATCACTTAAATTGTTTTATTCTCTAAGTAGCACTTAATAATGTTCATAATGTCCAATGATGGCGAATATTTACTTGAATAATGACTAAAAATGCTACATTTGGAAGAAAAAAAACACATGTGGTGCTATTTAGGGAAAGTTGTTATGTTGTAGTGGTATTTAAGTAAAAAACACATGTGGTGTTATGAATTAATTTATTCCTTACTCCTGCAATTTATTCCTTAAATTTATCCCTGCAATTTTTTTTTCACACACACGAAAAATGCACATTCTTGAAAACAATTCTTTTCACCCCTTTCTAGAGTTGCACATTTGACTAAAAATCTATACGAACATTCTAGTCACTAGTTATATCTACGAGTTTATCTCGAAGCTTAATGGAGGTGATAGATTAGTGAATCGGAAAAAATGGTTTAGATTTTCCAGATTAGCATGAAAAAAAAGAGTGATGAATCGGAGAATGAATCAAAAGAATAAAAAATTGAAAGAGCATGCTTGATGTGTTCGACACTCTCAACAAGAGCACCATTGATGGATTAGTGAATCCATGGGTAGAGGAAAAAGGAGAAAATGTGTAGATTAGATGAAGAAGATGATGAATAGTATAGCCTCCTTCTTCTCCACTCCCTCTTCCATGAAGAGGGGTATAAATAGGGAAGTTAAGATTTCGAACTAATGGGCCGGCCCAACAGACTAGATCGCCCTTAAACAAATAATTAAGATACGACTAACGGGCTGGTCCAACAGACTTGACCGCCCCGACTAATATTAAACAAATACTAGATACCACATGTCCAGGGTATCCATCAAGAAGTTTTGAGAATTTTCTAGTGAAACTTCCGACAAGGATTACTCTTAGCTTCAACGACTTCACACCAAAGTGACAATACCATTGCACTCCCCACACTCTCTAGAATAGAATGATATTAAACTTATTATAAATCATCCTAAATATGACTAAAACCAAAGTAGGACTTTCATGTTTTTTTCTCAAAATAAGATCTTGCATTGTGGTAATGTAGCACTATACATGTGCACATTACTATTATTTTTTGATAATGTACATGAACATGTTTGGTAATTTAAGTCCTATTTCGGGAATAAAAACATGGAAGTTTTATTTTAGTATATTTTTAATATTTTAGTCATACTTTAGTCTTTCTCCCAAAACTTATTGAGTTTTGGTGAAGAATGAAGAGAGTGAGGGTGGTTTATATAGGAGAAGAAATAGAGAAGAAGCCAGTTGGTGATGTACGTAGTTCCTATTTTGGCGTCTCAGTGGGAAGGGCTGTGATATTCACGATTCCAAACGCAAGTCCCTGATTGGGACTAATTTTGGTCCTACTCGGGGTACACTTTTTTGTCAAACTTTCTCTAAATTGAATTCCGTTTGCACCGTTGTGATTAAACAGTCGAATTCGATTCAATGATATAATTTTTGTATTTATTTGTAATACTTTTACCGACATCATATTTTTTTGGGTGTTTGACTTTGACAGAGCCAAAATTGATTTAATTGACCTTTATTCAGAATGGTTCTTACATTCCATTCATATTATTTATTCTAATGAGTTATTTCAATAAATCATTTCAAGTTCACATCACAAACAAATTTTTCATTTATTCTTGATTTGGGTATATTCTCAGGTTCCCAATCAAGGTCACAGAAGAAGTAAACGTATTGGATTTATCTCTATGAGATTTATTCAGATGGTGATATTGGATATCAATACATATTTTATTTCGACCCAAAGCCCAACAACAATTTATTTTAATAAAAAAAATTTGTTTAATTGAATAATTATTCATTAATAATTTTAGGGTATGTTTTGGGGCGTTACAAATATTTAGTGTATGTCATTTTTAAATATTCAGTTTATGTTGTTTTTAAATGTCCTATGTATTTTGTTTTTAAATATTCAATGTATGTTGTTTTTAAATATTCCGTGTATCTTTTTTAAATATAAAGTATATGTTGTTTTTGTGAAATATTTAGTACATGTTATTTTAAATATTCTGTGTATGTTAAATTTAAAATATTTCTCATATTATAAATAAATAACTAACCCATCAAATAAGTATTTATTTTTATTGAATCATTTAAAAAATTGGTTAATGGAGGGTATGAAACGGAAGTTGACTTGTTCATTGAACTAATGTGTGTTCAACGAACACATATTGTTAATTTAGAAAAAGTTGGCTAGCGGATGGGATGGAGTGAATAGTGATGAGTTGTCAGTGATCTTAATAATTGAACTAATATGTGTTCGCTGAACACATATTACATTGATAAGAATTTGACATTAAAAATCTTCACTGATTGGTAATTGATCCTAATTTGTCTTGGTCCCAACTCCCAACAATGTTCTTAAACCCAGACCTGGCGGAGTGGTCTGACCAGTTGAATCGTGACCCAGACACAATCGGTCTGGTCCAACTTCTAAAGACGCGGAACAATTAGATCAACTCTAGAAAAAATCTTGATTGACCCAGGACCTGCCCTCCCGTCGAGTCGACCTTCGGTCCAGGTTTACATTAATTTGGCCCCGAAAGAAGACTTTGATTTCTTGGATTTTTATGTTTGAATAAAGTTATTTATAAATTAGTATAAGTGAAAATTAGTGTAGATTTAAAAAAATAAAAATTATATATATATTAAAAAGCCACAACAAAAGTTTAGAAAAACAAGTTAGAACAAAGTTATTTTATTTTATCAAATAACAAATTAAAGTATATAAATGAAAATATAGTTAGTTTGGGATGGATGGAATACTATGCAATAAATAAATATGCAGTATAATAACCCCTGTTTGGATATATTTGAATGAGAAAAAAATAAGGATGTAAAATTTTGAAGAGGAAATTAAAAT